GACTTGGTGAAGAACACAGAGATCTGCCTCATGGAGCTGAGAGCAGCTGGGAATAAAAACAATACGCACACGATGACCGGAATCGGGGAGGTGGCTCCGGCCTTCAGTAGGGTGTCGCGGAGGCCACACAGGGAAGGTGCCTTAGAGGAAAAAGTACAGGGGAGACCTGGGGAAGAACCTCCCCCAGAGGGGTGGCCAGTGCCAAGGCCGGAGATGGGCCTGAGCCTGGAGAGCAGAGTGCTGGGGAGAGGGGCTCTGCGGCAGGGGCGGGGGTCTCAGGAGGGTTGCAGCAGAGGGACCAAAAGACCTCTCTGGCCGGGGTGGAGGCCTAGGAGGAGACGCCGAGAAACCCCACGGCCTGAGCAGGGCAGGGGCTCCCATGGGGGCCCGGGCATCGAGTCAGCCCCCCAACTCCCAGCCCTCCCCGCTGGACATTCGGGCACCCCCGATCAGAACTGGAGCTGGGCTCTTCTGGGATTCAGGGCACAGAGCTCAGAGCACAGGAATGGAGCCTCCCTCTGCCTGGGCCGCACCAGCTCAGATGTCCCCACAGCAGACACCACCAGAGCCTCCCTGCCCTGGTGTCAACCCCTGGTGCTTTCCCCAGGGCCCTTGTCACCATCTAAGACTGAACTGTTTTGTGTCCTGAAGCTTCTAGACTGGGAGCTGGCTCTGCCCGGGCCCCCAGCACCTGGCACATGGCAGCTGCACCCAACCCCACTCCCCCGCTGCCGTGTGACCTCCAGCGGGCACCTGAACATCTCTGGGTGGAAACTGGGGAGCATAACAGCACTCCCTTACAGGCTGATTGGAGAAAAAGGTTTAATTATTTGCAGGCTGCTTAGTGCCTGGCATACAGTCAGTGCCACACAAATGTTTAAATAAGTAAGTGCTCAGGAAACGATGCCCAGGGCTGGCAGACGACGCCCTCCGGGGACCTCCAGTTGCCACCTGGCGCACCCCAAAAAGGTCTCTTCTAGGACATGGGAAGAGAGCCTGGCCTCTGCCTGCAGTCAGGGCAGACCCCTGGGTCCCCAGCAGAGGAGCAGCAGCCGGACTGGGCGTAGGGCAGTTTAGGCTGGAGGGGCCCCTCTCTGCGCCGGGGGTAGAACTCCGGGGCCATTGTCCGCACAGCCCAGGAGCAAACACACAGCCTTTGTTTCCGGGAGCCTGGAGGAGGGGCGGGGAGGGGGCCTCTGGCCCCAGCTTGGCCCGCAAACCCGCCCGACGGGTTTGGCCCGCGCCACCCCGAGGCCCCCAGTTCCACAACAGCCGGCGGCCCGGTCCTTCCCCCGGCTCTCCTGGGCCCGAGCGAGGAGGGCGGCGGGGCGCGGGTTCGAATCCCACCACTGCCCGGGAGCCCCCGGCCAGGGCTCCGCCCCCCCAGAGCCCGCTGGACCAGCCGACCCAAGGTGCGGGGTGGAGGGCCTCCCGGGGCGACCCGCGG